ACAATGCTTGAGGGTATGCCTCACAAACAATGCTCTTTATAAATTCTGGAAACTACACCTGTATCAGTGTTATGATTTTTATTGTTATGGTTTCTTTTTTTAAAAAAAAATCAATTTTCCTTGCTTCCCACCCCCTTCATTTAAACACCACATCTGGAATCAACTTCCCTTTAAAGTTATATTATGCTTTCTTTTTTCTTTCTTTCTCTTTCTTTCTTTTTTTCACAGAATCTCACTCTGTCCTCCTGAGTAGAGTGCTATGACATATCTCACAGTAACCTATAAACTCTTGGGCTTGAGCAATCCTCTTGCCTCAACCTCTCGAGTAGCTGGGAATACAGGCACCTGCCACAACACCTGGCTAGTTTTTTCCGTTTTTAGTAGAGATAAGGTCTCACTTTTAAGCTGGTCTTGAACTCTTGAGCTAAACAATCCTCCCGCCTTGGCCTCCCAGAGTATTAGGACCACAGGCATGAGCCACCATGCTTGCTTTCTTTCTTCTTGGTCTAACCACCAAGAATGGTGGTAAGCCAAGATAGCTACTCTCAAGCAGAGCCCGACAAATGGGGGAAGTCAAATTTGGGTATGTCAGTTGGGTGAAACACAAAACGAAACAAGTGGCAAAGATATGGAGAAATTGTAACCTTTGCTGTTTTGTCTCAAAGAACTCTCTGCCGGAATCACCCCCAAAATGATGGCAGCAGCATGGAAGTTCCTGCAAGGGACTGCCCCAAACTGTCCCCAAGATAGGGTCAGTTGGGATTCCAAAGGAAGAAGCACTAATCACCAGGTGATCAGTCCAAAGTAGGATATTAAATAGGAAATGTCTGATTTCCTTAAGTACTAAGTTTGACAATTGGCATCTCTGATATTTCACTTTAACGGTTCTTGTTTTATTTTTATTGTGAAGGCACATCCTCATTCTGTCAGATGCAAATTTTGGTTTTGATTATCTTTCAATTTTTTTGGAGCAATTTTTATGAAACCATGGATATGTCAAACATTCATGTTATTTTTGAATATGAGTTCTGTGGTTGAACCAATGCAATAGAGACAGCTCAAAATGTCAACAAAGTGTTTGGGAAGGATGTGGGTAATGAATGCACAGTATATCGATGGCTCAAGAAGTTCTGTTCTGGTGATTTTAATCTTGCAAATGAGCCAACCTAGACCAAGGTGGATAATGATGAGTGGAAAGCTGTAGTGGAAGTGAATCCATGTCAACCTACACATAAATTACCAGCAAGATTTGACATTATTATTTCAACATTGGACCATTTGAAACAAATCAGCAAGGTAAAGAAGCTGGATAGACTTGGCACCTGTAGCTGTGGCTAGGACGCCAGCCACATACACTGGAACTGGTGGGTTGGAACCCATCCCGGGCCTGCCAAACAATGACAACTACAACAAAAAAATAGCTGGGCATTGTGGTGGGCACCTGTAGTCTCAGCTACTTGGGAGGCGGAGGCAAGAGAATCGCTTAAGCCTGAGAGTTTGAGGTTGCTGTGAGCCATGATGCTACAGCACTCTACTGAGGGTAACATAGTGAAACTGTCTCAAAAAAAAAAAAGAAGCTGGATAAATTGGTTTTGCAGGAATTAAATGAGCATCAGAAGAGAAATCATCTTGAAGCTTGCCCTTTTTTGCTGAGGGCAAACCATATCTACATTGTATTGTTATGAGTGATGAAAAATGGATTCTTTTTGACAATCACAAGAATTCAGCACAATGGTTGAATAAACATGAAGTGCTGAAACACAGTTCAAAGCCCAATATTCATCAAAAAAAGCTAATGGTGTCCATTGGTGGTCCAACACTGGTATTGTCCACTACAGCTTCATGAAACCTGGTTCATCAATTACAGCAGATGTCTACTGCAACCAGTTGGACAACATGATGAGGATGCTTGTGATTAAGCCACAGAGATTAAGCAACAGAAACAGGCCAATCCTCTTGCAAGAAAATGCTTGAGGGTATGCCTCACAAACAATGCTGCTCAAACTACAGAAGCTGGACCTGGAAACTCTGCCTCTACTGTAGTCACTAGACTTTGCACTAACTGACAACTACTTCTTCCAGGCTCTGGACCACTTCTTGCAAGAAAAAAAACATTCAATCCTCAACAAGCTAGGGAAACCACCTTTGGTGATTTTATCACCACTCACTCTCCAGGCTTCTTCCCTGCTAGCACAAACTACCGTTGAGATGACAAAACTGGGTCACTGGTTTAGGGGCATACTTTGATTAATCGTACCACTTCTTATTTGAGATATAACAAACTAAACTTTTGATTGATTCAAAATCAGACATTTCATATTTAATGATGTAATATTAGGTGAACTTACAGAGTGCTGCAGCAATCCTCATGGACGGCCAGAGAAAGGGACGAGTTCTACACAGCAACGTCTGCAGCAAGGGAATCACGTTATGGATTATATGAGGCCTTAAGAAATTTGGCTTAGGAATAAGGATCATTTATTTCAGTGTTTTGGACAAGAACGTAAGTGTTTTTGTGGGGGGGACAGAGTCTCACTCTGTCACTCAGGGTTAAAGTGCAAAGGTGTCATAACACCTCATTGTATCCTCAAACTCCTGGTCTCAAGTGATCCTACTGCCTCCACCTCCAGAGTAGCTGGGACTATAGGCACAATGTCACCACACCTGGCTGGTATTTTTTTATGGTGACAAGGCCTTGTTGTGGTCTCAAACTCCTGGGCTCAAACAATTCTCCTGCCTCAGCCTCTCAAAGTACTAGGATTACAGGCATGAGCCACTGCACCCCTGGCCAACTAAATACCTTTATCAGTGCCTGGGAATGTTTAATGTCCTGGTTTGGGTTCTTACCTATTGGGAAAAACTTGCAACTGGCTGGGTCACAGAGCAGTCAAGACACAGAAAGAAAAAAGGGCTAGGGGGATGATTGGGGGCCCTGTATTTGCCTGCTATTAGTAGGAATGCAAAATAGTGCAGCCGCTGTGGTAAACCCTATGAAGGTTCCTCAAAAGGTTAAAAATAGGACTACCACATGCTTCAGCAATCCTACTTCTGAGTATTTATGCAAAATAACTGAAAGCAGAATCTAAAAGAAGTATCAGTACTCAGCAGCAT